TGACGACACTATTTTAAAATCATACATACCCGTACTCTCGACGTCGCACAGTTGCTTATAATATATTAGTAATAATTAGAATATTAATTATAATGGGTTACTGCAACTGTCAACTAACGATAGTAATTAAATTACCTAATTAAATCAGTCAGTTCTATGTGCCGGCGAATCATTTTTTCAAAATTTCATCGTTCAATACAGAAAAATAACGAATTAGGTGCGGTCCCGAAAATGCACTATGTTGTGTGTTCCCTTAGTATATATTATACACATATATACTCAATAGAATTTGTCAAAAAGTGCCAAAATCACGGCTTAAATTTACGCAAATGAGTATATTATACGCGAGCGTGTAGTACCTGGAGATTATCATTAGGGAAATGTGATAAAAAAATCGACAATCGCCGATTTGTCGAATTACACTCGATACATAGTCTCAAAAATCTCTAATTCAATTGTTTTTTTTTTCTTTCTCAAAATTTCGGAATGTGTTGTCTGGCTCTGATGTTGTAATTACTGATTAACTAGCCGCACAAGAGTTAATTGCCGTTGTCGCATCGAACACAGCAGCTTCAAGTGCGTCACTAGAATCATTTTTTAAATTCATCTGTAATATTAGCATGTTACTATGTTCATTATTTGATCACTTACATATCCACGCAATGACTGGCTGAACACTAGACTAGGGCATCTTACAAAAGAAAACACTTCCTGCTTTTAGGAGGCTCTGGTGGTTCTAATGCAGCGAGAATAGCTTCATCAAAGACATTTTTCAATCCTTTCTGCAAATTTAAATTAAAAAAAATTAAATCAAAAAAGTCTTTGTGGTTTGATTTATTAATAACAATCTTACCTGAGTTAAAGCACTGCATTCAACATATTTTACAGCTTTCAATTCCTTGGCAAGTTTTTCACCCTGTTCAATGGATATGGGCTTTTGTTTGTTCTTTGCAAGTTTTTCGATCGTTGCTACATCATCTCTCAAGTCAATCTGGGTCCCTACTAATAAAAATGGGGTCCTTTGACAGTGATGCGTTATTTCTGGTACCCACTGTAAAATTTTGGTTGATGAATTAAGTAGCCATCGATCAAGAACTTTACCTTACTTGTTCTACTTACTTTCTCCTTAACATTTTCAAACGACGAAGGAGACACAACTGAGAAACAAACAAGAAACACATCTGTTTGTGGATAACTTAATGGACGCAGTCTGTCATAATCTTCCTGACCTATGAA